AGTGACAATAAAGGCATTCTATTATAAAAACATACTTGATCTTTATAATGCTAATTTCTCGCTGCAGATCGAGCATACCGGCAAGCCACAGGTTGCCTACCCTGGTTTTAACCAGTAGCTTGCTACTTCCACTTCTACTTCCCGAACTGATTTGAATATTATGGTAGTTTGACCCAGGGGGTTCTGAGCAGCCTCTGGCAGGTTCAAACACAACCGGTTTGCTCTCTTTTTTCAAGGATTAAATCTGACATTAAGGTGAGCAGCAGCCTTGCCTACAGACACTGTAACTCAATTCTCTGTAAATCTATCATTCCTTCCAATGTTTCAGCTCAACCTAAACTCCTCTTCTTTACAACCCATGTGTATTATGTGTTTGCACGTACAAACTAATTAGGCCTATTACAAAATATGTGTAAATGTTAACTTACTTACAATTACAATCCTGGCTTTTTAGCGTGTGGTAGATTTATGATGTGATTAAAGCTTTTCAAAAGAGTACAGCAATTCTTAGAGACCCCTAGCCATACAAAAAAAGTGCAAAAGAAAATCTTGCATAACACTGTCAGTATGAATTGCTGCAGCTTGAGGCTCTGCTCCTCTCTCCCTCCTTCCCTCCTCTCCTCCCCTCCTCTCCTCCACTTCGCCTCCTTCTCCTCCTCTCCCTCCACTTCGCCTCCTTCTCCTCCTCTCCCTCACCAGGCAGGCTGTTGCTGATCAGATCCAGGTATTGCTCAATAGATGTCAGCACTTTGTAGCCGGCACAGTTGATGGTTCCTTTGGGATGGAGGCGTCTGTCGTGGGCCTTGGAGCAGAGACAGGGAGCAGAGTTAGCATGTTAAACAGTTAGTCTAACCAGCATCATCTGAAACGGACTGTACAGTCTTATCTCCCCCTCACCGCTTTGTTGTCGTAATAGTTGATGTTGTAGGAGTCTGGGACAAAGAAGAAGCGGTTCCTCCATTTCTTGTTCTCCTCCAGGTACTGAAAGAGTGAGCCCGAGAAGATGGACTTGTTTTCCAGAGGAATCTGTGGGTGGGAACACATTTCACCTCAAATCTTAAACACCAAAGAATGTGAAAAGACACATTTTCTTTTTTGTTATGACAGTACACTGCACAGGCTGGTTTAAATGCCTTTTTATTGCTAGAGCAGAGAAAAAGCCAGCCTGTGTTTAGGTTTTATAAAAATACACATCTCAAATGAACCCATTAGCATCTTAATACCAAGACACCAGGTTAGCATTGTTTCCCTCAAGAGAGCCGACTGCATTCCTCACAGCACTCTTAAACCAGCCCATTATTACACTCCAGACCCAACTTCTGTGTGTGTCTGTGTGTGTGCTAGCTGTGTGTCAATAGACTGTAAAAAGCAGACAAAGCTATTTACAAGCATGACACATTTGAATGTGTTTGACCATAGACAAAAAACAAAAGCCAATCTCAGCATAGCGAGGTTCTCCAGAATCTCCATTGCACCAGACACCATGAACCTGCTACAAATATCTTCACAAAAAAATGCAACGTTATGTTCTTAACGCCCACTGTGACTTATACAGGGCAGGTGTTGCTGGAATTTATTTGATACTAGTGCCAATACAGTATGGTGCCTGAGTTTCAGTACCAACAACATATTTAATACCTTACTTCTATAAACTCTGAACAAAAGAAGCAGAACTTCCCAAGTCCTAAATGTGTAAACACAAAGAGCTGTACTAACACCTTTCCTTACAAAATTGGCTAAAAAATAAAATTCTGATTTAAAAAGGTCCATCGTGTAACATTCAGAGGGTCTATTGGCAGAAATTGAATATAATATTCCAATGGTTTTTATATTCAAGTGATTTTACACTAATGGAAACCTATAAATATTATATTCCATTTCTGACTATATATCCTCCTAAATGTTACACACTGGACCTTTAAATCAGAATTTTGTCAAGCTTAGACTATTTTACTAGGGAAAGAGTGGCTCTTTGTTTTTAGATATTTAACACTTGAAACATTTTGCTTATTTTGTTTAGGATTTTTCTGACATAATAATTTTGACTTAATAAGTGTAAATATCTCATAATTTTAGTATTTCATCTAATTTTCCAGGCAGAACTGGGCTTACATACAGTGTATTTAAGAAGTTAGTACAGATTTTGGCATCTGAGCTCAGAGCACTAAAGGAGGATATTTTACCTTGCGGTGCAGCAGCTGGGGTTGCGGGCCACCTCCTCCTTCTATGTCAAAGCGAACTTTGTTAAAGAGAGCCACTGCATACTGCTGCTCATACAGGCGGCCAAACTCCCCCATCACCTCCCCGGTGCGAGCTGAAACACACAAACACAAACACCCACAGTTAGGACAGTAGTGGCACTGTACACTGCACAAGAAATGGTCTACATCGTGGTGCGTTTATATTTTTCATATTTACACAATAATTGAGAAATGATTGTAGTGCTCATTGTGTTTCATATTGTGTTTTTAAACCATCAGCACAATAAGCATTTCAGCTTCAGGGTCTGCTAACGTAGAGCAGAATTCATCGACATTTATTTTATTTTAATCAGGGTCATATAAAATAATTCTGAAAAAAAGCTTAAAAGATCTGATATATATGAATATAACATTTTCATGTACACAAACTTTTTCCTCCAATACAAAAAGTATGAAGAAAAATACCCGGGTAAGAAGTGTAAACCTCTAAAAGCAAACATTACCCTTTGCATTATCCTGTCTACATAAAATAAAAACTATAATAGCTAGTGTATTTATTCTTTTTGCAGCAAGGTTTCCGTCTTTAACATCATCACGCTGTGCACTCTGGGTGATGTGCAGCTAGCTGCCAGCTGATCGGTGCAGGTGGAGGAGATCAGAGGATAGAGCAGCTAAGAATGAGTAAAACTGGGCATATCTCAAAAACTAGAAAGTGTACATAGTTCAAATAACTTCTGGAGTGTCCAGAAATATTAAGTTTATGTTTCTAGATTTAGAAATCTTTTGAATCAGCATATTTCTTGTTCTTTCTTGATGAAAAAAACTGGTCAAATGTTTGTATTTTTATATTTATGGCACAATTTCAATACTTATTGATATATATAAGCTTTTAGCTGAGATTGTACAGATTTTAGGGATATCAATCACTTCAAGATACTAATCACCATTAACAAAAATACCAATGTAGGCAGTGTAGGTCAAATGAGACTTTGTAGGTCTGGTCTGAGGGCAGGTTGCCAGGTTGTCACTTTTGTGATTAAAAATTGAAGGTGAAAGTCAAACACAGAGTTGACAAAGTGTAGAAAGGCATTTCACACCACTCTCGCTGTTTGCTAAGGCTCTGGTTGGCTTTCGCTTATCAAACCTCTGGACACTTGAAAGGAAGATGTGCACTGCTGAGCCCTCCTCCGTCTTGTCTGGAGATATAGTTAGTGATGGAAGATGCACGTTCTAGCAACTGTAGACTACCGTAGGTGAATCTCAATCAGTTGATTTTCCCCTCATCCAGATGAGAGTACTTTAATATGATCTGCTTGTATGGAGTCAGTTTTATGCAACTTTTGTTAAATATTGGCCACTGTATTGTAGTGTTAACATCTGTGGAGAGAATAGTGTCATTGTGGTGTCAGGCTGTTGTCATAATGAGCAAACTATCTCTTAAAATTCAAATTAGGGCTGAATGCAATACTGCTAATTAGGCCCAACAGGATACACTGGATTTCCCTCCTGGAAAACAAAAAAAACAGCGTTGTTCACACTTTGTTTTCATGCCCAAACAGTAGTCCATCCAAAAAAGACCATAAGGACTGATTTAACTATGTTTTGGTTGCTGATTTACTCAGCATACAATGAAAAAACAGGCTAGCAAGCATCTCTTGTGGATTTTAGCATCTTTTAAATTGCATTGCATGTTGAAACTGTGTACATTAGTTATTGGCAATTCAGTGTGTCTGCTGCAAAGCAAACCCCTGTCTCTGTTCAAAGATGGTCTCTGGTGTTGGAAATAAATGTCCTCCTTGATCTTTCTCTGGCCATCAAATGACTCCTTAAGGCTATGATGTGGTTGAAAGATCCAAAGAGTGAGTGCATGGACCGCTGAGCTTGGATTATTTTGTTAGACTTTTGATTTGACAGGTAGCAGACAATGTATAGGCCTCATCAATCTGGATCAAGGTGTCAATTTAATGATCAATTATCCACTATGATCAATGCAAACTGTAAATTCTGATCCATATTGTCACCTTTAAGATATGTCTTTATTTTCAAATTCCCATGGCACGTAACTAAAAGTGAGTATTTCCAACAATGAATACAGTACTACTTACACTTACATCGCTGTATTGTAGGCCTATTTTAACTCTTAGTTTGTTGTTCGTAGAGCAAATTAAGCGCCACAGGTATAAGTTACAAATTCTGACATGGACTGTGAGAGAGTTACACCCTGTTAGGAGCACATAGGTATTGCAAAGTGTTAATATTAACACGCACTGTGACTGTGTGAAATGAGCACAGGATATAATTTTGGTTGCATGGTCCCTGAATTGAATCGAATCAAAATTAATGAATAATTCTCAATTATTGGAGAGATGTTCTGCATGAATCTTTCTAACATAAAAACCACCAGCAGAACCACCACCCCATGTCTGGGATAAGAGTTACAAAATACTTCTTCTGTATTTGCTCCCTGTTTGTATTAACTACTGTATTAGAGTAATAAAAAAGGGTCAAAAAGGTGTCTTAAGCCATAGGACCTTGAATGATTTAATAAAATGGTTTTGGCAAAATGTATTATTTGTTTATTAACTTATATCTAAGACATTTAGAAATTGTAGTTAGCTAAATGGAATTCCATCTGGGCTTGGTGGAAAAAACTACAGGAGGGGGGTGAATGACCTATTTGATCCCATCTGCTCTGTATCGTGGTTATAAAATGCTGTTTTTGCATTTCAGTAGATAATTAAGCTTTCTGGTATAGGCATTAGGAAAGTAGCCAAACAACATTATGACTGAACTGGACTGACTGAGTCCAGATATGAAAAGGGAAATGACCAGAACAATGTGTCATAAGTGGTTCATTAGGAATTCTGACATGTGGCTGGAAAAAAGGCAAATAGGCTCCCTTAAACAGTATAGACTAGATGGATACAGGTGAAATGGGCCTGACATCATTGTTTGAAGTGAGATGATTCAAACAAACTACCTTGAATAAACTTCCTGCTGACCAAAGAGTGAACTGCTTTTCTTACACATCCCGTCAGTGCGAGTCAACCTACTCCTACTCAGCTCTCTCCCACAAAGAATGAATCATACTTCAGTCCAGACGTCAACAGACTGTTAGGTCCAGAGTTGCTTGGGTCAACTACTAAATAAAAGCCAACAATCAATGACATGATTTCTCCAAGATTAGAGATCTTTGCTCTCAAGCTCTTGTACCAATCTCCATATGTAGCTCTCAGGACACACTCTAGGATTGTATTCCCTGAGAGTCAGTGCGATTGTTTGTACCTTAGCTCCAGCACAGTTATACAAAAGCACAAGGGAATTGTTTTCTGCCCCTATGAAAATTAAGTCTCAAAAGGAATGTGACCCTTAGCTAAGAAAACGAGAGATGGAGGGAGGATAGATGCCAAGAGAAAAGTCCAGTGCCACGTTTTTTAGACATTGTCCATTTTTGACTGCTAGGTTCTTTCCTGGCAAGCACTAATGCAGTTACACCACAAATACACCAAAGCCTGGAGACATGCATTTTCTCCACAAACCTTTATCAATCGGATTAGGACCTAACTCTAAAGGCTTGAAGGTACTCC